AAAAAAAAAAAAAAAAAAGGATTTCCTGTTTCAGGAACGTTGCCTGTAAATAAATTCAAGTTTTTCCATTATTTTTCCCTCCCCTTCCTCATGCTATCAATGCTTTCCCTAGCCATTTCGTTATTAAAAAAGAAATCTGGCTCCCCGCTCCCTCGCAGTATCCGCACGGCTTTCCAAAGGGAAGCCCGCTGCAATTCCTGGTGCTAGGCCCAAGCAGCTGCCCCAGCACTGTCAAGATCCTGCCCGCCCGGGAGCCTCGCGCTCCCAATCCGTCTTTAGTGGTGGGAAAGCTGCACCGGAGGCAGCTCGGCTGCAGGGAGCACTGGCCTCTCCGCACCACGACGTGCTTCCCTGCTCACCCTCCTCTGTGCTGGCCGGGGGGTTGCACACAGCTCCTGCCTGGGATAAAAAGGCCTCCTTGTTTTCCTGTTTACATCCAGTCACTGCCATAGGGCTTGAATCTCTGCCACAGCCCAAAGCTGCAGCATGATAAAATAGGAATAGGTGTATTATCAAGCATGTCTTGCTACATCCTTGTTAATAATGTAAAGCTCACGAATCAAGTTGCTCACAGTTTTAACACATATTTGAAAGTCTGATAACATTTACTTTTGAATAGCTCTTTTTTTTAATTAAAATATGGGCAAAAATGTATTACAAGGATTGCCACTTTTCAGTCAAGCTGTATACATAATATTGCATAAAATGTACATAAGACACATAAAATTATTTCCAAACTACCTCTACTCTTGCCCAAACACCACTTTCCTCATTTGCTGATGGTTCCCACAGCCATGGTGCTGGATACAAAATTGCAGCCGCTTAAAGCTGCTAAACACAACCTTGCAAGGGACTTAGAGCATGGGTAGCGAAACTAGCAGTGTGATACTAGATTTAAAAATATGTAACACATCCTGGGAATCTTATGTCACAAGTTAAAAGGAGATAAGATTCTAGATTTTAAAACTATATACACTGTATGCCCCAGATAAATTGTCAGACCTAGGAAACATTTTTCTAGAAGTATCTATGTGCTTTTGCTGAGCATTTGGGCCCGCCCATACCTTTATACCTTTTTATAACTTTCTTCTTGTTCCACTTCTTACTTTTCTCTATTTCATATCTTGTTTCTATTTTTTTCTCACCACTTTCTCTCATCTTTTTGCTTTCCTTGATCTTTTAAGGAAAAACCAACCAACCAACCAAGCAAACAAACAAAGAAAAAAGTATACTATCCATTCTTACCAGACAAAATTACCAGTATTATATTGCTTGCGTGGAATCATAGCCGATTAGCATGATCAGAAATTTGAATCTAGATGGTGATTTTTACTTTGTTTCTCAGTCTATCTTAAAAAAAAAAAAAAAGAAAAAGAAAAAAGCCTGAGGAAGAGATTGGGTATGAGACCTAACCCCACATGGAGCTTCCATCTCATGCGGGCTTTTAGGGAAGCACATGCCCCACCACGCAATTCGAACCAGCTCTCCATTCCCTAAAATGGGCACCTCTGGCCTTTCAGAGAGCTAAGCAGATCTTAAGATGAGGAGATGAGAAGGATGAAGAAAACTTTTCCATTCATCCCACTCATCCTCTTTTTATGCAACCACCTGATGCTCAGCACTCTCACCAAGGAAGACTAAAACCTACTCCCGAGGCCCCAGAAAAAAATGCCTCAGCACTGCCTGCCTGCAGGCCTTAAAACCGGGTTGGGGGGCTGCAGAGGAGCTACTGCTGCTCTGCTCTGTCAGGGGGTTGAAATGGGAATTTCAAAGTCTCATTATCACATATTTGCAACAGCATGAACATCCTGTTAACACCCACTGAAGAAGTATTTGGAAAAGTGCTAAGACACTTAAATTATGTTCAGAGAAGCAACATTTCATAATGGTCTGTTTCAGCCACTGGTCTTCTCCGGTAATCGGCTGGTGTAAAATGCAGGTGGAGATCTAGGATCCAAACCAGGGCTCCCTCCCTTTCCTTATCTTGTGAGTGCTTCTCCGCACAGTAACAGAGTTTCAATAGTTGTGGCAAAGACACCAATCCTCCCGAACTATTCTTTTCACTGAGATTTGAAATTTCAGCTCTACAATGACAGACTACATTTTAGCTTTCTCCCAGATAGACAGCTGTTCTAAGTGCTACTGGGCATCACCAAAGGGCAGGCACAACCATCATTTCTACCTCAGAGGCAGAGTCACCTTTTCTCTGTAAGAATCAGAATAAATGGATAGCTGCAGATGCACTTGGTGAGGACCCTCCTCATCCTGGAAGACGTCTAGACACACAGAGAAACTGGGCTCTGCTTGCAGATGATGTGGCAACTGCAGTTTAGAAAGGAAAAAGTGGCAGGGTCCAGGGAGCTTCTCAGGAGGCAGCATGTGAGATGAGCTTTCTGGAATCTTCCATAAGCCCTCTTAAAGCCCCAAAGTCTTTCTGGATTTGACCCATAGCTAGTACCTGGCATGCAGATGTTGCTGTTGTCCCCGTACAGATGCTCTGTCAGAGCCCAGGCGCTCAGGAGCACCCGTTCTTCTCATATGCTATTCATACCCTCAGCTTTTTTACAGTGTTGACTGGGACCTATTTTCAGTACTGAAGCGCAAACACAGGAAAAGCACGAGCGCATTTGTTGTGTGTATGTTTGAGGACTGTTTTTATGTGTAGCGTATGGACAGGAATGCTCAAGGCAGAGAGATTCATGGCTGAGCACGAGTTACAACGAGCCTCAAACGCACCTGTAGTTGTTTCTGGGATCCCCAACAATGTGGCTCCTGCCTCCTGAGTGTCCATAAAAGCATTAGGACCAAGCTGAGCCACCTGTGGAAATGACTCATCAACTCCAGGTGACCCGTAATGAGGAGAAAGTCACTAATAAAAGTCTGTCCCAGGATCAGAAGATACCTGTATCTTGTTTACCTTTAGGTGTATGTTGTAACAAAACACAGACCAGGTTAAATAAGTTTTTTTTTTTCTGCTTTCTTTAAAGGTAATAAGGTGAATTTTCTCATTTATATTACATAGCAAAAGATCTGAGTTTTTTATTATTATTATTCTTTTTGAGCTATTTTAAAAATAGCTATACTTACACTGCAATATATATGAAATAAGTAATTAGAATAGGAAGGTTTCTCTCTGCTAGGAGGGCTAAGAAGTTATGGGCTAGTTTTCTTGGATTGCTTGATTCAGAGCTTTCTTGTTTTGTTTCCATTTCCTGCTAAATCTTTTTTTTTTCCCCTTAATTATTACATTTCTTATATAAAGCTATGCAAAACAATCTTCATGAATCTAGAGACAGATGGTAATCTGGTGCATTGTAAATAACTGATGAAGGTTAACTATTCTACTTGCTCATGTTTGAGATATTATTTAAATGAGATTTTATTCCTCTATTCTAAGCGTTCTTTAACTGGCTGTCATACTTAAAGCCTTGCCTTGTCTTGAGTCCACAGTAAGCAAACCATAGCTTACACTCTTAGAACTGTAGTACTTAACCCAGTTCAGTTCTCTTCTGTGTGCAGAACAGGACCAATATTCTCATAGCATCTGGAGAATATTCTTGGGGGAGCTAGCCTTAAACTTCTTATGAAAATTTCCTGGAGTCTGGTAAAGGTGAGGCATTGTGGATTGTAGGAATTTCCTCAAATGTTACCCTTCTATATTCTTTCATTATTATTTTATCTTCTCTTCAAAGAAGCAGCAGACTTAGTCTCAGGTTAAGTTTAAGAAAGTGGTCATGGTTTTTGAGAAAATGCTACTTAAGAAAAAAATATTGTGTTTCAATCCCAAATACCTAATGAGATCGAGAATAGTCAGAGTTCTACTAGTCTACCCTTATAAGCTTTTCTTGATAGGTTATTGAACCACTGTTTTTTCACTTACATCCCTTTACTGAAAGGTAGGCTGCACTGAGAACCATAGTAGATCTTAACATGGCTGTTTGTTAACAAACTGTGGTGCAGGCTCCTAACTTTTTTTTTTTTTAGTAGCAAAAAAATACTACCCTCCCCCCTGCCCTTCTCTCTCCTCTTCTTGATGTGGAGAACCAGAAAGTGTAACTGACTTTGCTGTCACCTTCATCTCTTGGTCTCTTGTTATCAGCTATCTATGGCCTAAGTCCCCAGCTTTAAGATTTCAACTTTCTGGTCTCTTCATTATTTCTTCATTATCAGGATGTCTGGACGTGGAAAGAAAACTGCTCCACCTGGCAGACCCGGAGCTGTGCCGAAGAAAACAAAATCAGCCAAGGCTGGCCTGCAGTTCCCAGTGGGTCGTGTCTATGGGCTGTTGAAAAGAGGCAGCTATGCTGAGAGAGTAAGTCCTGCTGCGGCCATCTACCTGGCTGGGGTGCTGGAGTACCTGAGCGCGGAGATCCTGGAGCTGGCGGGAAACGCTGCCCAGGAGAACAAGAAAAAGAGGATCCTGCCGCGACACATCCAGCTGGCCGTGAGAAACGATGAAGAGCTGAACAAGCTGTTCTCTTGTGTGACCATCGCTCAAGGAGGGGTTATGCCAAATATCCTTTCCCAGCTTCTTCCCAAGAGAACTCAGAAAGAACCTGCTCCTTCCCAGGAATGACTTGGTAGCAACTGAAACTTGCTTTTTTTGTTTTCCTTCTTCCTGGTCTGATTTGTGTGCTTATGGATGATGGGACTTAGTAGCACTGTTTCAAAGTGTGTTTACTTCTCTGTCAAGTATTTTCCTACTATTTTTAATGTTATTTTTAAAGCTTCTAATAAACTTCTTAGAATGCAATATTGTTCTCCTTTCTTTGCAGCCCAGTTCCCTGATGACTAGACATAAGTTGAGTATGTATCTACCTTGAAAAGGTGTTGGAGGCAATGGCTCTGCAACAGATGAAGACAACCAGACATATGTAGCCATTTATGTAAAGTAATCTTTTCCTCCATTACAGACTTATAGCACAACTAATTCAACACTTCATAATTAGTCTAACTTCTAGAGATAGTAACTCTGTGCTTTAAAGTCATTACTCATAGATCAAGAGTGAACTGTTGTCTTTGGGTAGTGCTCCAACACAAGGCTAAATCTCTTCCTTTGTTATACCAATCCAAGGTGCTTCAAACTTGTGTTGAATGTATCCACTTGGAAGTGGAAGGAGAGGCTTTAAAGGAGTACAGGAATGAGGAGGGAAGAAAAAAAATATGAAAATAAAATTAGTTCTTCTAATTACTCTGATTAATGTAAACCATTCCTGGAATGATAATTCTTTGGGCTCAAGCAAAAGTGTAAAGGGTGGAGCCACACCAGGCTCAAGTTAAGTACTTAGTTCATGCATAGTTCTAAAGGCAGTGCTTGAAGCACCCCTAGTTAATCTAGAACACTGTACTGTGTTTTTCATCTTGTGTTGCTCTAGATCATGCAAGTAAATCCTGCAAGACATAGCCACTATCCAGGCAGCTGGTAGAAAATGTCTTTAGCTGACATCTCTGCATGATAGGAGATATTATAAGAGTAGACAGGGAGGCCCTATCTTTACTTATAAAGTAGCTGATAGAGTACTTACAGCTGCTAGAACTTTGCTTATAGAGTAGCTGATACCCCAGAGGGCTGTGCTGCCATCCAGAGGGACCTGAACAGACTGGACAACTGTGCAGTGAAAAAAAAACTCATGAAATTCAACAAGGCCAAATGCAAGGCCCTGCACCTGGGGAGGAATAACCCCAGACACCAGTACAGGCTGGGGCCTGACCTTCTGGAGAGCAGCTCTGCAGAGAAAGACCTGGG